CATGTCTGTAACTTTTTACTTGTAACAAAAAACACTGGCAACAACCCACATGTCTATTCATAGAGGGCTATTATTAATAAATAAATAATAGAGCATGTGTAAAATAGAATGAAATGCATGTATTTTAAAAGGAGGGAGTTACACTGTGCTAGCTACAAAATAGTTTAAAAACAGCAAGTTGCAGAGCTTTGTGCAGGTTAGTCTAATATTAGCATTTAAAAGCATTTAAAAATTATGAGTATTATATCAGTTTGCCAATGCTGACATAACAAAATACCACAAACTAGATAGCTTGAACAACAGAAATTTATTTTATTTCTTTGCAGCTCTGCAGGCTGTGAAGTCTGAAACCATATTGTAGCAGGATTGGTTTCTTTTAAGGCCTCTCTCTTCTTGGTTTGTAGATAGTTATTTTCTGCCTGTGTCTTCACGTAGTCTTTCCTCTGTGTCTATCTGTGTCCTACTCTCATCTTATAAGGAGACTGTATTGGAATAGGTCCACCCTGAGAGCCTCATTTTAATTTAATCCAGTCACTAAAGGCTCCATCTCTAAATAGTCACATTCTGACATTCCAGCGGCTATGATCTTAACTTATGATTTGGGGAGGAACATAATTCAGCCCATGACAGGTATATACTGTACCGAAACTCATCATATTGTATGCTTTAGATATGTTCGATTTATTGTATGTTGATTATGTATTAACAAATGTGTAAAAACATGGAGGAAAAGAATATACTCATATTCGTATTTGCTTTTATATGCATAAAAGAGTGATTGCCTTTTGCAGAAGAGGTGAGTGCATAGCAAATGGAGTTCAAAAATGAGACTTAAAAAACATGTAAATGTATTACTGATTCAGAAAAAAATCTCAGATACATATTTTTAAATGTTAATAAAATATGATACCAAGTGTTTGGGGAGTTTGGGGGAGGCAGCAGTCATTGTGAGCTGAGATTAGTGGTTCTGGCCTACAAAACTTCCCACAGGCTCTGCTCTCTGTCATAAGTTTCACTTAGCTTTATTCAAGGCTGTCAGCCTAGGCTTGACTGTGTCATTGTCCCATATCTATTTTGTAACTTTTATACTGACAAAAAATTTACTGTTTTTAAACTCTTCTTGTCCATGTTGGCCATATGCTTTTACAATAAGAAAATAAAAAGATTTACTTCATTGTAGTAAGACATAGCTATATCTAGGAACAAATTACAGTTCCTAAGACAGCTTTAGTTTGACTTATTTGCCTAAATTGATTGCTTCTCCATGTCTTTATTCAACCTTCATTTGTTTCTTAACTTCATTAGGTCAGTTTTTTGGTAGTTTGTAGGCTAAAAGAACAAATTTGAGCTTTGTTCTCCTATGAGTTTTTCTCCTTTATAGTTATTTTATAACCCAAATTTTTGATCTATTAGTGATTAGGTTAAAGGGTTTGAGGAATAATTTTTATATCTTGTAGAACTTTGGTCCTAACAATATATTTTTATGGAAAAATACCTTCAATTAATACATTTTACCCAACTGTCAAGACCGCTTTAAATTAAAGCAAAGACAGTAGAATTTTAGGAAAATAATACAGGTTTGCTTTTTTATGAAATAAAGCTTTTTATCAGTGAATTTGAGGGAAATTGTGAAAATAATAAACTCTATAAAATTCAATTCAAAGGGCATTCTAAAGCCCTCCTTTTCTTTATTCATTGCTAACCTGTTTTCAATATAAATGGAAGATTGTAACAGTACTAAATTTGGGCCTTATATAAAGATCTCATAGGAGGTTGGCTGAGGCTCCATCCTACGTGGGAATTGTTAGTTTATGGGTGTCCTCAGGGATGCCAGATAAAGGTTTATTCTGTGCTATAGTTGTTTCCTGTTTGTGGCAATACCATGGGACACATTCAGGTCCAGGAATCCAAATTCGGAAATGCTCTCTGGGACTATCATCTTACTCTCTCTTCTAGCCCCAATTTGAAATCCTTTGTAATAAGGAGGCAAAGTGAATTCTTGTCCTGGCTCTTATTATAACATTTCAGTGACTTTGACCAGATTCCTTAACTTTTCCAGATATCCATTTATTTACCTGTAAATTGAAGGGATAACAGCTAAGACTTCTTAAACACTTACTTTGTGGCAGACACTTTTCAGTGTGCTTTATTTTTATCTTTATTAATTTATTTACACCACCACTCAGTGAGGTAAGCATTGTTATTATGCTCATTTTAAAACTGTGGAAGCAAATTATCATCACCACCTATCCCCTTTGTCTTCTTTATTTTTTTTTTTAATGTCTTCTAACATTTTTTATCTTTATCTTTCTGTATCTTCTAACATATTTTTAAATAAACTTTATAAAATCAGTATACTCACTATACTCTTTTCAGGACACTTTTTTGGGTTTGGGGGGGTTTGTTTGTTTTTAGATAGGGTCTGCCTCTGTCACCCAGGCTGGAGTGCAGTGACGTGATCTCGGCTCACTGAAACCTCTTTCTCCAGACTCAAGCAATTTTTCTACCTCAGCCTCCCAAGTAGCTGAGACTACAGGCATGCAACCCCATACCCAGTTAATTTTTGTATTTTTTTAAGAGATGGTCGTTTTATCATGTTGACCAGGCTGGTCTTGAACTCCTGGACTCAAGCAATCTACCTGCCTCAGCCTCCCAAAGTGCTGGGATTGCAGGTGTGAGCCACCGTGCCAACCTACATTTTAAAATATTATGTAAAAAATAGAGGTTTATATAACTATTTTCTATTGACCTTGAAAAGAAGTACAGCACCTTATCTAAATAATGTTAAAAAGTGTTTATTTGGGTTTATAAACACTGTGCTTAAAACTTCCATTAATTTGTTCCTCTGTACTATACAGCTTCCACCTCAGTTCTGTGGCTTTCACAGTCCGAACAGCCTCTCTACTGCAGGAATTAATAATTTTCTGAATCTTGCAGTTTCCTAGCTATGCAGGCTCTTCCAGAACCTGCAGCCTCAGCTACCCTCATAGATTAATTATTCATTAAGGCAGTTTCCAGTGTAGGGGCTGGAAACAGGGAAGGGAGATGTTTGTATGAAATGAATTTGTTGTTTTTACTTGATTTGGGTTTTTTGCTTCCTATTAGATTACTGAGTCACAATATTTGAGGAATTATAATGCTATAGATTTTTTTTTATTTTTCTAAAGTATTAGAAAGATTCTCTTCCCACTATCCTTGCAAAGTGGGCATCTACGTACCAACCATAAGTCTTTTCAGAAATATTTCTGTAAATTATTCATTTTCCAATTGCCTTCAAATTCACATTATATTCATATTAAGACATTTCAGTAAATAAACAGACATGAGAAGTGATCACTTTTTACTGGGTTTCTCCAGGAATGTGCTGAATATTCTTAGACCCTTTTAATGTTAGGCGAATACATGATTTTGATTTCCTATCGCTTCTTTGTTTAAAGAATAGTGGGTATTTTCATTGAATTTTGCAGAAGAATTTAAAATTGGCTGCTGAAATGGCAGCAAGATAGGCATAAATATTTCTTGAACATAAGCTGCTAGTTGCTATAATTTGGCTTTAATTATCTATAAATGTGTTTTTAGAATTTTGTTCAAAATATTTGAGATTTTGCAGAAATACACCTTATTATTGTGATATATTTGACTCATTTTTGTTGTAGGATTAATAAATTGTATTTCATTTCAGTTACAGTGACTGTTTACAGTACCATTTACAAATCTTTAATTTGTAATGTTAAATTCTCTAATACCATATTCAAGATGTTTTATGTTATAAATGAAGCAGGTTTAGTGTGGTTGTCCATGACTTTTACATCTAGTTTCTTTAGAGAAAATTAGATTTTAGTTAAGGGTACTAATGTTGCCAGAGATGTATTTTGAGTGACTGACTTACCTATCTTTGCCTCCTTTCTAAACCCTTTGTTTTCTCACTGTCCTACTCCAGGATTGATATACAACAAAGCCAATGAAACTTAAGCTTTAAGACCCCCTCACTTATCTCCTCCAAATCCTGGCAGGGACCGTGGTAATTTTGTATTGTTAATTCTGTATTTGTTCTCTTAAAGAGGACCCTTCTAATTATATAAGCTTCTTTATATACAATCAATGTATCCAACGTAGGATTGTATCTCATAAGATTCTTAGTGGCACAGCAGAAAGGACCAAAAAGTGGTGGGAATAAAACCTTTTTAAAATCAGAAATCATACAATTGATGTAAGAAAAAGAAGATTATTTTTCTCCATACAGTTTGCAAAGCTGTATCAACAGCTAACAAAGTCTCTGCTGATATATCATGTATTTCATAAAACCTTACTCTATCTTCCTTTATCATTGTGCTGGTAGGCAGATTCTCTTCAGCTTTTCAGCTCGTGTGCAAGGAATAGAATCGTGGGCAAATTTCAGAGAGGCAAAGACATTTACCTCTTTCACCAGCCCTACTTTAACAGTGGTGGGCAAGTAATGTGCTAGGAGAGGACAACTTGGAATGGTCCACATACTTGTGCTTTGGCAGCAAATAGTCGTCTTATTCCTCACCCACCCCAAAGCTGGTACTAGGGTAAAGCATTTGAGGCATGGAGGAGACAAAATTTACACCTGAATCTGATAAACTACTAATTAAAAACTTATTTCCCTCACCCCCAGTTCTAAAAAAAGAACACCTAATGACTTTGTGTTGTTTATTTAACAAACCATTTTGTAGCAGTAGAGGCATGATGTCAAGCAGTTGTCTGTCTAATCACTGAATAAATCACTTTACCAGCTTTGAGATCCTGGGCAAAATAACTTCCATGAACCTTATTTTCCCCAATTAATAAGGCCATAGGATTTAAAAGTATATACCTATAAGGGCCTTATAATATGGTAGGTGCCACTGAATGCCAGCTCCCTCCCCTGACCAGGTTCTCGTTTGTACATGTTCTGCAGCCATGCCCTACGTGTGATATGGCCAACTGGCTACTCTCACTTGATTAAAAAGTATATGATTGTCAAACTGTATTTTCAGAGAATGATGAGGAACAGGAGGCACTGCCATCTCTAGATAAACCTGGCTGGTACTCCCAAGGAAACGCTGTCCACCTGTATGAACTTCTGAAGAAAATGACTGGCAAACCTGAACCCAAGGTATTTTCCAGTTGCGGAGGAGTCCTCAGCACCCACTTGCAAACATAAGCAGTTGTGAACTAAAACTATTCTCAGTGCATTCAGCTTATTCATCTATGGGGGAAATTATCTGCCTCTGCCTATCTGCCAAATCTCTCCTCTTAAATCTGTTTAACTAAGGCTTTCCTTTATCAATGTCAAAGCTGTCTGTCCGTGATAGAGAAGAACAAGGATTCCAAGCAGGGCACCACAGATTTAGTGAGGGTATGGGTGTGTAGGATGCCTGTGGAATGTTATCCTGATAACAATCCATCCAAAAAGTTTTTATATGTAAAACAACTGAAATTATGCCACAGACTAGCCTAAGGATACTCTTGTTTTTGACAACATAATCACGTTGTTGATGTTGGACGTTGGTACATTTCTAACAGCAGATCCCTTTCTTCTAAAAAAAAATGTACCAGAATTTCCATGAGCTGAGAGATCATGGAGTAACAGAGCCCTGCTTCATTGGCTGTCACCATGTCACAGTCCCCTGGGGACTCCTGAGGGTTAATGGATGGAGCAGTCTGACTTGCAGATGCTGATTCTCATATCCCTTAACTCTGTTTTCACGTCTGAAAATTGAGAGGTATGGACTCAGTCAATGGAGTTTTGCCTCAGACTACCTAGGGAACTTTCCAGATTCTACATGCCCAACTCCACTCTCACATACAGTATTCTGTTTCAGCAGATTTGGGGTTGAGCCTAGAAACTCTTGAAAAGTGGTTGTGATTCACACTTTTAATTATTTCTAACTTACTATAACAAGTTGTCTAATACCTCACCAGCTCTTCAACTGCAGGGGCCATTTTATTAATAATTGTAAACATATATGTAAACATATAAGTTCACTTCTTTAGGAAAATTGAATAAAATCACTTATTTCACCTTATGCATTCTTCCACCTGTGAATGTGTTGTATAACTTCTTAAGACAAATCTGGCACCCAGTAAATCAAATAAGACAAGTTGATGGTCACCTGTGAGGTTATTCAAAGAAGTTTAAGATGTTTATGCAATTTTTAGTTGTCATACTCTGATGGCTGTTGAGAAATTTTCTTCTTCCTTATATGAAATAAATGCCAATCTCTTTCACAATTCTATGCCTCAAACAGCATCTGTTGTCTGTCTTACAGGTTGTTTATTTTGGTGACAGCATGCATTCAGATATTTTCCCAGCTCGTCACTATAGTAATTGGGAGACAGTCCTCATCCTGGAAGAACTCAGAGGGGATGAAGGCGCAAGGAGGAAGAGGCCTGAGGAGTCGGAGCCTCTAGAGAAGAAAGGAAAATATGAGGTAAGTGTTCCCTGTAGTTCTTTCCTTGAAAGAAAAAATTTTATGTCTGAAAGTTAAAGTATCTTTACACTATATGACTCCAAAATTATCCTGGTCAGGCTGAATACCATCATATTTTTTTTAAATGACTAATAATTTGAAACTTTGTATTAATTTTATTGACTTCATATTCCATTTATATTGAAAGCAATAAATAATAATGCCATCTTCATTCCTTTCTGAAAAGTAAATACTAAATAAGAAAATTATAACAAGTTGTGTTTTAACTATCCTTTAGATGTCATCATCATAATAGAATTAGAGAATTATTTTCATTGTAGGGAAGTAATTACTATTCTGGGTTGTTCTGTTTGGGCTAGTTTTCAGATAATAACCAATTGGCCATATAAAAATCTAGTTTCTGTTTAAAATAAAGGATAATAATAAGGAGGGAATATTATTCCTGTTCCAAAAATGTAATGTCTGCCCAAAGCCTATTTGTAGATTCCTACAGGGTTTCAAAGTTTTTATTTACTTAATAGACAAAAAAATTATGAGATTGAACATTAATCACCATTTTAATTATTCTGTTCTCTTGTTTCAGGGACCAAAGGCAAAGCCTCTAAATACTTCATCTAAAAAATGGGGCTCTTTTTTTATTGATTCAGTTTTGGGACTGGAAAATACAGAAGACTCCTTGGTTTATACATGGTCTTGTAAGAGAATCAGTACTTACAGCACTATTGCAATTCCAAGTATTGAAGCAATCGCAGGTAAGGGGGAAAATACCTGTAAAACTTCACCTGTTACTAGCCAATAATGACCAGTACTAGAATTTTTGTATTTAAGAAAAAGAAATCTTCCCACAACATTGATTTATCTCTGGGGAAAATATCATCTAGATATGGCAACCCAGGTAATTAGGACCAGCATTTCTGTGGGAGACAACTACAAAAGTTGAATGTTTTTTAAGTCAGCTTGGAGGCATATTATAAAATTAGGGAAGAGTTATACCAGGACAAGCTGCTAAGGAGGCCCAGTAAGGTGAACGTGGCATTTGAGGCTGCTTTTCCCCGTGGGTATTTGCTGATTCCAAAGAGGGCACCAAAGAGGGTGAGTGGGCCTTTCAATAACTTCATAATCTACAGGAGTAGGAACTGGAGGAGAGGGCCTGCCCAAGGAGAGGTGGGTCTGGTGAACTCTCTCTATATTAAGACCCTGAAGGGCTTTACTTTAAAATAAGAATAAATTGAGAAGAAATCTCCATTTTCATAGGAACTAAAACTCAGCTTGAAATCAGCTGAATACTTAAAACTGAATTGAGGAGATTCCAGATTATTAGTGCCCCTGCACACCTGGTAGAAACAAATATAGATTCTCTTTTGAGTAAGGTAACATCATTCTAGGACCCAAATTATTTCTAAAAACAATTCATATAGAATTCAGCACATAATGGAAAATAGCTGGGCACATAAAGATATGAGACCACACTAACAAAAATAACCATGTTTATTATAGTCAAATACACAAAAGGAAAGAACGAGAAATTTGGTAGAGATTAAAAACTATGAAAAGAATGGAGAGTCTGGAATTGAAACATTTAAAACATGAAATTAAGAACTTAACAGATGGGTTTAACAGCGAATTAGACACAAAGGAAAAGTGACTTAGTGCACTGGAAATTAGGTCAAAAGAAAATATTTGGAATGAAGCAATAAGAAAAAAATCATAAAAGATACAGAAGAGAGGCCAAGACATAAAAGATATACTGAGAAGAAATAAGATTTCTATACAGCCAGTCTTCTGTATTCTTGGGTTTCACATCCTCAGATTCAACCAATTGTGGATAAAAATTATTCAGAGGAAAAAGCAATAAAACACAATACAACAATTTAAAATGTTACAAATTTTTAAAAATACAGTATAATTATTTACATAGCATTTACATTGTGTTCAATATTATAAGTAATCTAGTGATGATTTAAAGTATACAGGAAGATGTATGTAGGTTATATGCAAATATTATGCCATATTTTGACTTGAACATGCACAGGTTTTGGTATCCACAGGGGTCCCTTTGCAGATACTGAGGGGTATCTGTGATTGGAGTCCCAGGAGATGAGGGAATAAGCCAAAATCAATAGCCACAAACTTTTCAAAGTGGGGGAAAAAATAAGCCAAAGGTTTAAGAAGCCCAAATAAATGAAACAAAATGAATAAAAAAGAAATTCAGAGTTAACTGATAATGCCAAAGATAATTAAGAAATATTAAAAGCAGTCTAGAGCACAAATATAGATTGATTGAATAACAGATTGACATCTGACTTCTCAGAAACAGAGAAGGGTCAAAGACAATAGAATGACAGCTTTAAATTGCTGAAAGAAAATGATGTGAATCTTGATGGAATTCTTTTTTTTTTTTTTTTTTAGACACAGTCTTGCTCTGTCACCAGGCTTAGTAAAATGCATTTAACCATGCCCAGCCATCTTGATGGAATTCTATACCCAGTAGACATTTTAAATGATAAAGTAAAATATTGGCCGGGTGCAGTGGCTCACGCCTGAAATCCCAGCACTTTAGTAGGCTGAGGCAGGCAGATCACAAGGTCAAGAGCTCAAGACCAGCCTGGCCAGCATGGTGAAATCCCATCTCTACTAAAAATACAAAAATTAGCCAGGTGTGGTGGCGGGTGCCTGTAATCCCAGCTACTCAGGAGGCTGAGGCAGGAGAATTGCTTGAACATGGGAGGTAGAGGTTACAGTGAGCCAAGAACATGCCACTGCACTCCAGCCTGGGTGACAGAGCAAGACTCCATCTTGAACAACAACAAAAAAAAGTAAATGATTTTTAGACAGAATAATGGAGAAACTGTGTGTCCAGAAACCTGCACTAAAGGAAATAAACATTGTTGTTCTCCAGATAAAATTAAAAATAATTGATATTGGAAGACTGGAGATGCAAGAAGGATCTATATGGTACAAGCATATGGTATAAGTATACAAATAAAAAATGAATACTTACTGTTTGAAACAATAAAAATTAAAGTCCCGTGGGATTTACATAAATAGAGAATTAAAATGCCTGACAAAAATGGTATATATATGCCGGAGTAGGGCAGCTAGAATTAACATGTTCTAACATGCTAGAATTAAACAATTAAGGATAAGAGTATGTTCAGTATTGATGTCAGAAATGTACGTTGTAATCTCTAAAATAACTGTCAAAAGAATTGTAATGATATATATACCAACCTAATATGTAAAATAATTTAAGAATCTAAAAGAAAGCAAAGGAGATGAGAGAATATTGAGAATCAGCAAGACAAACTGATTTAGTAAAATGTTTAATTTAAACCTGAAGTAATTACATTAAATATATGTGACCAAATACTCCATGTAATAGCCAATTTTAAAAAATAACAATACCCAATTATAGGTGGTTTACAAGAGATATATCTGAGACATAAGGATTCAGAAAGTTTAAATAATCAAAAGATGGATGAGGTAATGACGTGCTAACAGTAACCAAAAACAAAGAAGAGTGGCTACATTAACATGAAACAAGGTAGATATTAAGGGGGATAATGATTCACATGAGAGAGATCACTTCATAATTATAAACTTTTAGTTTTCAGAAATACATAACTGCCATCTAAGATACTCACAAAGTCCCCTCTCTCTCAGGTCAGAACTTAATCTCCCATTTTCACAATACCAAGAAACTGCCTAAAAAAGAAAACATCCGCTCTGCTTTATACAGGCATATGCTTTCCACTTGGATTCTTAGTTTCCAAGTTTCCTTCAGCATTTGGCAAAGGGTTTGAGGAAAAACACAGCAGAATCCAGTTCTCTGACCCTTCCTTTACAGTGGATTCCTAGCCCCTCAATTTTTGTCTTTAGCAAGACTGCCAAAATCTCTACTGGTTTTTCTGCTGCTTGTAGTGGCCCCTACCCCCAGCCAGAATTCCAGCACCAGAGGAAAAAAGCTGAGGCAGAGTGTTAACTCCTGTCTCCGCTGGTTCCTCCTTCCTGGGAATTGTGTCTCCTCAAGTCTTCCTTGCCTTTTTAGCTCTCCAGTGACTTCAGTCTCATATTTATATTTTATCCAGATTTTCTAGTTGAAGTTAGAATTGGAAGTCTAGTTAATTTTTTTGAACCTCAGATTCTTCTTCCTTAAATTGAAAGTTGCCATGTTGTATGTATTAAAATTCTTATTTCACTAAGCTTTTGAAGATTATTCTTAGTAACCCTGTTCCTGAGACTATGAAGAAGGTTATTAGGTCTCATTCACCAGTGACTTGATACTCTAAGTAGCGCCTGGGAAATTTCTTTTTAATTTTTATTCAGATAAGCCTTCATATTTTTGAATAAACTTCTGAGCAGAGAGTATTAAAATTAAACTCACTAGTTAGAGCTCTGGGGATGATCTGAGATGTCTCTAAATGTGATTTGACTTAAACATTATTATAATAGGAGAAGATATCTAACTCTTCCTCCTAAGTGACCTTTGATAGACCTTTTCTGTGATATGGGAGAAAGAATAAAATTAAATTATTTTAAATGAGATAGGAAGTGAAAAATAACCTGGTACTTCTCCTTTGCTTCTTAAAACCTTTTTATATTCATGTAATGTTTCTCTATTTATGGATATTCTGTTAGACGTGATTATCTCATTCACATTTAAATGCCTAGAAGCCATTTTTATAGCTGTTGTAAAAGTTTGTATTTATTAGCCATATACATTACAATCGTGGTTGGTTTATATACATTTTTAACCTTATATATAATAATAGCTACACAGAGACCTACTGAGGGGGGTAAAAGAAATATTAAAATTTTACAACTCTAAAAAATAGCTTTTATTATCAGTGAATATCAAGTTTTGATTTGTTTATGAAAGGCATTCAGAGACCTGTGCAATAATCAAAATTGTTTTTATTTTCCTATCTACAGAATTACCTCTGGACTACAAATTTACAAGATTCTCTTCAAGCAATTCCAAAACAGCTGGCTACTATCCAAACCCTCCATTGGTCTTATCAAGTGATGACACACTGATAACCAAATAAGTTGTCTTTACTGAAAAATGAAGTGAAGACCCATATATGCAGTTTTAAAAAAAAGTTAATTTTCAAAAATTACTGTAAAAGGCTTTAAGGAACGAGTTTTTAATGAAAATTGACCAAGAAGTTGATATTTGTCCATAGATCTCCTTTCTATAAATCATCTTGATGTCTAGCAACTCTTACTGTATTAAAATATCAGTATCCTAGAACTTAGAACCTTATTGATGTTTTCTATACAATAGTTTTGAGATTAGAATTCATCTGGAGATGGACACAAACACACACACACACACACACACACACACGCACACATGCACACATACTCAGTCTTACACATATGCCTAGTCCAGTGGTTCTCAGAGTGTGGTCCATAAACTAATAGCATAGTATTACCTGAGAACTTGATAGTGCACATTTGCAGGCCCCACCCAAAACCTACTGAATCAGAAGCTCTGAGAGTGGGGCCTACCAATATGTGGTTTAACAAGCTCATCAGGTGATTCTGATTTACCTTATAGTTTGAGAACCCACTGGCTAGCCCATATCCTCCAAATGCTGGCTTAATTGGTCTGGGCAAATATAGCTGAGCATTGTTACCTTTTGTATGCCCTAGGAAAGTGCAGCCAGAATTGAAAACCAACTGATCTATACCAGTTCTTTCAATTAATAGTCAAGAACACTTGAGTCCAGTGAGATTAAGTGATTTTTCCAGGCTATGAGGTTTTATGCTATTCCTGTGTTTTCCAAAACAAGAAAATATAAAGACATGATTTCTTCTCTGTTCATACAGTAAGTATGGAACAGAGATGGTCTAGAAGTCAACTGTCTCAACCTCCATTGTTACCCACTAGGTTTTTTTCTAATAATGTTAAAGGCTGTTTAATTTACTTAATTAACTTTAAGCCTTACATTCTCAATGGGGGACAAAAATTGTTTCTTGGGGTGAAAAAAAATCTTAGATATGGATTGTAGACTTCCAAAATCATCCTATTCAACAAAATGTTATTCTTTAGTATTAATTTATCTCATTAGGAAGAAATCTGTAGTTAAAACTATTTAATTTGAATTTGATTTCTGTAATTGGAAAGGGTGATAATAATGAACAAAAAGTTTGAGAAAAAAATGCTTTAAGGGGTTGCACAGGTATACTACAATCCAGGACTGTTGTGTTCTATGTGCTGTGTATAGTCATATTAGTAGCTATTTGTCGCAAGATACTTGGAGCCAAATAATGTTTGTAGTATACGTTCCTGGCTACTGTTTATGCTGTAATTTCATTCTATCTGTCATGGGCAGTATTAGAAAACACACTGATTTTCACTATCTGGTTTTCAAACACTGTCATTATTTTACCTGGATTGTAGTGGAGGATTTAGCATATCGATGCATGCAATGGAAAGAAAAGAATTTTGTTAAAATTTGTAAATGTTCAGATAAATCCCGGGTATACTGTGGGATGAGTATCTCAGGGTAGGTAAAAAAAAAAAATTACTGAAATTTTTCCCTAACAGTAGCTTTGTTTGATATTTAACAATAAGTATAGGTGATATACTTGAAATTTATTTCCAGAATGTCATTGGAATATTACAATGAGCATAAATAATCAAGCTTAGGACTGAATGAAAGATGCTATCTCATGTATGCTTTAAATAGATAACTTATTTCTTTTCAAAATAAAGCTATTTTTCCTTATCCATGTTTATTCTGTAAATGGCAAATAATACATCTTTAAATGCCTATAAACTACTGTAATAATGAAAAATGTGAACTCGAAAATAAGAAATTAACTGCACTTTTGGGGCCACTGAGTAGTGGCAGGGGTCCTGGAGGCAGAATTCAGCTGTCAGAATTCTAGTCTTCCCTTTATCATTCTACCTAAAGACCCTGAATAAGTTACCACCGAATTCGGCTTCATTTGTTTCCATCTTTTAAAAGGAAAGGCTTAGTTTATTTCTAAGTTTCCTTCCTTTCTAGCAGTCAGTATTTCTTCTAATGAATTTTTTTTCTATAATTAGAAAGATTGTAATTAGACTTTTTAAATTTTTATTTCATTGTTTCTAAAAAGTGCCAGTGTTCCTGATTGGATATGAAGATTAAAAATAATCATCCAAATGTGGCACCATAAAAATTAAAAAGAAAATATTAAAGAAGTTATATGAAGCAAGAAAATCTTACAAATGAGCAGAAGACATGTTTAATATTCACATACAGGCAAACATTCATAATCTAAAGGACACCTAAAAATAGATGTAAGGGAGCTGTGGTTTTCTTTGCTGGCCACTATTTATCGCATCATCAGAGGAAAGATCTGAATGGCTGAGTGACCAAATGTTTTGTGAGAGTCTGGTATTTGGAATACTGAGGTAGTAAAAACTTCAACAGAACCATGAGTTGCAATCTAAAATCAACTTCTGAGTTTGCTGAACTCTAAACTGAAATCAAGTATTATTTCCCCACCAATGTTCATACCCAAAAATAATTTCAATACACACACACACTTTTAGTGAAAGTTTGAATGAAAATACATTTATAATAATTATTTAGTAACAAATCAGCATAAAATGGAAAGTCAAACTGCCTCTCTGGATATAATAACCTTGACTGAATGTTAGAAATACATGGATAGTTTTTCAAAATCTGCATTTTTGGAGTAACAGTCCCTTACATCTTTGCAGGCTTTGAGCACAAGAAGACTATCGTGAGAGTTGGTTCTAGATTGGTGCAAGACTGGAATACACTTGACTGTTTTTGTTACAGCCATGAGGGCATACCAAGTAATTCACAAAGTATGATCTTATTGCCACCCTTGAAAATCCCTGGGCATGGTCCAGTCCACATAGAATCAATTCAAAAAGGTGTCTCTTGTTGGTCTCTAGAACTATCCTCAGAAATAATGGTAAAATAGTGGTCATGAGTGCTGACTCCTCACTAGGCTACTTCATGTACATTATCTTGTTTACTTTCTAAGCAACTATATGAGATGTATATAACTATTAAATTGTACAGATGGGAAAATCGAAATTTAGAGAGATTAAATACAATGCTTGCTCTACGTTACACTGTTACTAAGAGACAGAGAAATACATGAACCCAGGTTTGATCCTCAAAAATCATACTTTTAATTACTTGATACATAATGTCTTCCAATATTAAATCGAGACTGGGGCAAATTCTCAGCCCAAAACCGTACTTCAATTTAGCAACAATATCATGCTAGGACATAAGAGATTAAAAGTGAAGACACAGGCTCTATCCTTAAGTAATTCATAATTTAGCCAAGTATATTAAAACAAATAACTGTAATATAAAACTAACCTAGAAGAATAGAGGTCCAAGAATAATAGGAGTCCTAAAGCATATAATGGGTCTGCTCCTCGTGGAAGCCAAATTGATCAGTAAGCAGGCCTACTCTTTCTTCGTATTCTGGTTTAAATGTTCACCTTGACTACTTGGTAAATTTCCCTCACTGGTGCTGAAGTAACCAAATGGATAAGGAGTAATGAAAAGTCATCTCTGAGTAAACTTAGTGAAAAATGGGATATCTGGGACTGTAGGGAAGTTGGGTCATTACTTACAATGACAACTGGAGAAGTACACAGACTGCTTGACAATCAGTTTCTTGTACCACGTACCTGTCGACGGACTCTTTCAGAAAACAAGTTTATTATTTTTACCTTTTTTGTTACTTTGGTAGTGATATTTCCTTGGTAAAGATCAAAGTTTAATAAAGCTTAATGAAGCTTAATAAAGAACAGAAATAAATTACTATCTAAATGTATTAAAAGCAATCACCAAGTTTAATCAATTAAAAAATAAATATTCTCTTAATTTAACAGAAATGTCAGTGGTTCCTTACAATTCTTAGCGGCTAAATTCCATGAGTATAACATTTAATGTCCTTTTGGTGCATTAAATGTTCAATGCCTTTGATGAAGCGAACAAACAATTTCATTCATGTGTAGCAAACATAAAGATGACATAAGTAAATTCATACGTTAATCTGTAACTGGATGGAGTCCTGTATTAAATGAAGTGATAAAATGTACCCCTCTCAAAGGCCATTCATAAATGATTAAGCATAACCTTCAACTGAGGCCTAATACTCACATGTCAATAGGGTTTTTGTTAACATTTTTATGCCAAATTTAGGATGGTTGTGATAGAGTGGAAGATATGCTAGCTTCAAATCAGAAAACTGAACAATCTGAGACTTGCATCTTAAGTCAATTTAATTTCACTATCTGGACGTCTGTTTACTCAACTATTTAAATGGAAATAATAAAACTTGTGTTACAAGGATTATCAAAGTAGTATGAGAGTGCACTTGGAAGTGCCTGACATATCTCAGATCTTTTGAGGAGATTGTGAAGCCAGGGAATATGTTACTGAAACAAGATCAAATATCCAAGGCTTAAATAGTGATTCTATAGGACAGGAACTCAATAATTTTAAATATAGGTAAGGGGTTTTTTGTTTGTTTTCGTTAATGATGAAAACATTTAAGGATGCTTGAGTTAACTGGAGATAAAGCAGCAGCACCAGGAGAAATGGAGAGAAGATCCTAATAAGGTCAGAGAAGCCTTTTATAAGTGTCTGGCTTGAACTGAATGCCCAGAAACGGAAGCCCAAGGAAATTGTCAGAGGATGAGGGAAATTACGCAGTGTCACCACTACTCACAGGGCATTATGGCCTGAGCAGACTAAAATAATACTTCTTAGGTTACCAGAGAATGGGAGAACCTCTTAACTGGTTTGGAGGTCCACATAAAGAATTATTGGGGTCTAGAATTAAGGAAGAAAAAGCAGTACAAGGAAATTATGCAGGGATATAGCAGTGAACAAATTGGTTGGTAAATGAAACCTATAAGATGTCTAAGAAAGTAATTTAATGCCTAATTTTATTAGACTAAACAGAACGGAAACCATGCTAATCTGTAACAAATATGTGGCACCAGCCTAGTAGAGTGAATGCTATTGGTTAGACTAAAGCAGATAATAAACCACGTGTAGGAAAAAGGACATTTTCTGATTATGTCCAGAACAGGCATAGAAAAGGTATAATAAAGCTTGAAACAGGGGGTTGGACAATGCAGAAATCAATCACTGAATTGAAATGGTAAAATGAACATTGTTAGGGGAATTTAGGATTAAGATGGATGTAGAGCTTGCAAAAGAAAACCTAACTCTCTAATGCTTAAAATTCTCCAGCCCTA